GATTTTGTCTTCTTCGTTAATATTATTTATTCTTCTGACGATATTAAGATTTTGAGATTATTACGCCTGATCCTTTTGATGACGGCTGAGAATAATTTACAAGAACGGAATAGAGCAGAACATTAGTCAAATAGTAGAAATACAGCCGAATACTTGTACCAAAAGGAGGCGGTCGACCAGCTGACCGTCTCTGGCAATTTGCCAACCAGCTTATCGACTTTTCACCAACTTCGCTCCATTTCGAAAGGGGTGAACGGCAATTAGATTTCGTAGTCAGCCTAGCGAGGGGCGGAGGGCTACCGTGGCTCACTCTCCGGCCCCTTAATGTGCCCTATCCAGACCGTTTTCCGACCTCATTCCTACACAATTGGTATCGGAGGGGGCGTCGAATACAAACCATGTGCCTTTAAGATCAGCCCTTGTAGGTAGAGCTGAACCTCTCCTCTCTCATGGATGCCCACGCAGTCAGCTTCCAATCAGAATTTCTGCAGCATTCGAATGTTCATTTGGATCTACTAGTGACTTGCGTTGGCCAACCAATGCATTGGTCGCGTCTTGTATTCACTAAAGTTTTATTCAGGTTAGGTGGTTCGGTTGTCCAGAAAGGAAATCCACCTGGGTTCGTTTCCTGGCCATACCTGCGACACTGGCATACATGGCATTAGATTCGCTCACCCATTTAAATTGTACAGGCATCTCTCAAGTCATCTACCTTTTCATAGTGAATCGCTATCATGAAAGTTGTTGAGGACCACTGAGCATACAGACTGAGCTAAAAAATCTTTTTCATGTCATGTTCTTCCCTCTATGCGGTGTTAATGGTAAGTAGTATTGAGATCAGATCACGAGAGCAGTTAGGCTTGCTTTCATTTGCGGTATTCAAGCTTCCCGCAGAAGTTTTCTTGTTTTGTTGTGCCCCAGCATCAGTACATTTGAATTGACATAGTCACCTTGCTTAGAAGTCAGTTGCTCCAAAGCATTGCCGTATGTTTGCAGTTCGATCAAGCGGATCTTGGTCTGGGAGAGTCGACCCGTGATTACTACTTGGATCGGGTCAAGCATGGCAAAAAAATCGAAGCCTACAGACAGTTGCTTATAGACAAGGTGACTGTTGCCACCTACTTTATTCTTCCTTTTTCGTCCCCTTATTGGAGCAACTTTGCGAAAACCCTCCATTTAAGGTGAGATTGATCAACGAGTATGACAATCGTACTTCCAATGATGCGAAAATTGTGAAGGATGTGGACGAGATCATTGATTTTGAAACAGAAATCGCAAAAATCATGGTAGCCGAGGAAGACCGCCGAAACTCTTCTGAAATGTACAATCTTAGGCGCCTCAGTGATTTTCAGAAGCTCATGCCTGTGGTGAGTAAGACAGAGTTTTTACTTCAGCGGCGTGTTGTCAAAGAGTCCGAAGATGAAGTATTTAAGGTTAACTGGACCAGATATTTTCATTCCGTGGCACCCTCCTCTGTTCTTAAATACTTTGAAGCCGATCCTGATGTCCTCATAAAGCAGATAGATTATATTGGAAGGTTAGTGAGAGGTCTACAATCCGTATTCGATGGTGATCAACTTTTTTCAGGATTAACGAACTGCTCCTTTTAATGGATCCTCGAATCATCACTAATTATATGTTTATTATCTTCGCTTCCGCATGGAGTGGAGAGCTGGGAGAGCGATTTGCCGATGTTTCCCAGGTTGGAAATAATGCTATGTTATGATATGTTTATTACGCTGCTAAGGCAAACGTAGTGTAAAAATGATAACAACCTTCTGAAACCAGCTTAAATAACGGAGCAAATTCAAGGAACACATAGAGATAAAGCGTAATCGTACCAAGAGAACCACGTAAAATGAGGCAAATAACGTGACTCCAAGGTTAGATATAAAACAAAGGTGTAGAAGAAGAAATGGTCAACCGCAAGGAACTATGTAAGCTCATACTTGGATGAAATTACTTTCACAGCAAGTTTGAACTTGGGCGAGGAATCCGGAGCGTTCATGTTTTTTGTTACCTTTTTGTAGAGGCTAGCCGCTCTGGATGCGAAACTTTTAGCTTTTATACTGGTTCTGAGCCTAGGGAGTGTTATTTTGGTCTGTCCGCCTCTGGTTCGGGAGTGAGCCATATTATAACAATCAAAAGAACCAGATGTATTACTTTGGTACAATAGCTTGCAAACCATGCATACGTCGAATACATTGCGCCGTGATTCCAAAAAAGAGAGTTCCAAGTATTTATTGCGAATAGATGCATTAAGAATCCTGTAATAGAAAAAACTCCTACATACGCGTAAAGTTGAAGCGATAAGGTTCGAGTAATCTCTTCTCACTGTTCTTGAAGACCTTCGCAGTATCTGTCGAGTAGGAAAAAGTTTTAGCGGAGGATTGCTACTAGAGGTGCAAGAACCCGCGAAAGGCAAGTACGGCTTAGAACTTTGCCCTAGATCGAAGTTCTGCTCATAAAGATGGGTATTAAAAATTAATGGTAGATAACGTCAAAAGTCTACGGATCTCTTTCGCTGAGGGTTCTTTCTCAAAGTATACCAGCCGGTGACGAGGCTACTTAGGGCGTCCCAAAGAGGGAATAGGGGATAAATGGCCGGTCAAAGTCGCAGGTGCTTACCCGGAGACGTAGATGAATTCAGGGGTCGACTCCCTGTTCCTGCTGTGCTAGGTCGATATACCCTCTGTATCGCGCAAGTGTATCCACGCATACGTGTGTAGAGTGTCTGCAGGTGCAGTTGGTATCCTGCGCACCGACTCAACCAAAAGCTCCCTTTGCGTAACTAACAATAAGAATTATCCGGAATGCGAGGCCGCCTCTAAAACCAAAGCCCGCCGTCCACTTTGAAATACCCTGGCTAGTTACTTGAACCCAACTCAGCCTCCACGGTAGAGCCTGGCAGACTACTCCTGCGCACCCTTATGGCAAAAACAGCATTGGGACTCAATTCCCTAAGCTTGAGTCAGCCACTGACAGTGTTTAGTAGGACCGCTCGGGAGAGGATGCTAAGATCTTAGGGCCATAAGAGGAAAGAATCAGGATTGCGATCTGCACTTTCAATGCACGCAATTGCATCGGAGCGTGCAGCAAAGATGTAACGGTGCAAGCCAGGGAGATCAAGCTTAAGATTGAAAGGCAGTGTTTCTGGGTGCTCACCCATAGCCAAATTTTTTCCTGGTTGGTACCTGCATATCACATAACAACAGAGCTTACGATAACATATGCAAACCTTCGCCTTCTTGTCTTCTTCAAGCCGCATAGCGCCGACTAAGGATACCGCGCCGTTAGTTTGATGAATTGAAATTGGAAAGGATAAGGGGAAAGAGACGGAAATAGATCAGAAAGATCGTCCCTCAAAGCTGTAAAAAACGTTAAGGTATTGCCTGGCAAAGAATTGGCTACGCAGCCCAGACCTCTAGCTTCTAGCAGACCTAGCCATGGAGGTCCCCAATTAATTAAGGACAAGAACTGAGCTGAGGATCCGGTGGTGGAGGCTGCACCATGCCGAACAAAAGGTACTTAAATAGGAGATACTGAAAACTGGTCTCGCAGATCATGAAGATCCGATCCAGCAGTCTTGGAGCAATACAGTAGAGGTCATTTTACAATGTACAAGAGAGAAGGGAGAGAAACGCTGGGATCCCTGGATTCCTAGGGAACAAGCAAGCGGCCTACAAGCGGTGGCAGAAGACGCGAGCTCCAGAAGACTTAGTCGCCTACAGAACTCAAAAGACGATCGCCAAGATTGTTGAAGCGAAAGCGAAGAATACGGAAATGGATGCCTTGTACGATGGCCGAGAAGGAGAGGAGCTCGTCTTCCGAATGTCGAGAGCGTGGCACCGGGCTACTAAGACATCAGGCTGGTGAAGTCAGGTAAGCACACGGGGGTGGTATCCTGAGGAAGCCTATGGAGGCCAGGCGAGATTGGAAAGAATTCTCTGACAGACGACAGGCTTAGTCTATTCAAGTTTAAGGGAACTCGTTCAGATCTCAAGAGAGCACTTGCCAGAACGGTCTACAACGGATGGTATCTTCATAGCCAGACAATTAGTGGAGAGGTATCGAGAAAAACGCAGACCTTGCTACCTAGCTTTCCTCGATCTCGAGAAGGCCTTCGATCGTCTTCCGCGACAGGTCCTCTGGAGAGCGCTCCGAGGGCGGAACGTTCCAGAACATTGGTTTCCCTGATCATCGACATGAACGGCAGGACGCACTCCACATGGCCTGACCGAAGCAAAAGACGTCCTGGTAGGAGTACACCAGGGATCAGCTTCAGGCCCGTTCCTCTTCCTACTCACACTGGATGTTATCACAAGCGAGCATCTGGCTGGGCCATTGAAGAAAATCCTCTTCCCTGATGACATCGCTCTGATAGCGGAGAGCAGGGAAGAACTCTAGGAGAAACTGCAGAAATGGCAGAAAGTACTGGCGGATAATGGGCTCCTTTTGGACGTGGAATAGACCAAGTTCTCAGCTTCGAGGAGTGCACAGGGTCGATCGTAGACAGCTTCGTGGCAGTCATCGAAAGGGTCCTGAACATCCTAATGAGTGATCGAGTTGCTGATGGCAGCCTGGTCCAGACTGTGAAATTCCAACTAATGGTGGCAAGGATGAAGTGGAGGGAGTCCACCGGTATTCTCTGCGACCGTCGGTGCTCCAGGACCTTCGAAGGAAATGTGTACAAGACAGTGGAGAGGCCCGCGATGATACGGCAGTGGGGGTTGACCGGTGAGTTGAAATCATGAAAGACAACTTTACTCCGCCAAGATGAGGATGCTCAGGTGGGCTCGCGATTGGAGGCGACTGGACCGGATCAGAAACGAGGACGTCAGAGCGGACATACAAGTCGCCCCTCCTTAGTTAAAGATGAGGGAATAGCGCCTGCGATGGTACGGACACGTAATGAGAGACCACCGAATCATCCAATAAGGAAGGCGATAGAGTTCGAAACGCAAGGGAAGCGATCAAGAGAAGCCTCAAAGAAGAGATGGCGGGACGTGATTAAAAAGATCCTCGTCGAAGCTGAGGTAATGGCGGAAGATACCACAGATAGAAAGAAATGGAGAAGGCTGACAAGCATAGCGGACACTGCGACGCCGCGGGACTAACACTTGGGAGAAGAAGATTTCGATGAATCTACAACTTTCTTTGGTTAATATCGTTGCCTTCTTCAGCATAACTCACTATTCATCTTGTTATCAGCTAATCTGTAACCCGCTTTCCGGTATTCTTTTGGTAGATGCATTTTTTGAACCTAAGAAATCTAGGATACGTACAAATTTGCCTCAATTATTGATTTTTATCGAAGAAGTTCCACCGCGTGATGTACGGGAGAAAACAGAAAGCTCCCACGTGGAAAGTCTGCACGTCTTCTATAATGCACAGATTGCAATATGCTACTGGAGCCATTTATGTTAGCAAGGCATATGACAAGGTGAGTTTATGAAGAATCCTCGCATCAGGGAGCAGGCTGTGCTCCGACTTCACTGTAATTACAGGCTTCAAAAAATATAGCATTGAACATGGTGAGCGATTTGAATGAAGTGTTCAATGAAATGCTTGTCGAGAACGATTGGATGGACAATGCTACAAAAAATGTCATTTCCGAAATCACACCTTCAGGTACGTAGAACGAGATGGTGATCGACAGAACATGTATTCTTTCAGGCTGCTTTTGAGAAGGCAAACGCGATGCTGAGACAAATCGCTTATCCAGACTTCATTCTCGACAGCAAGAAACTTGACGATTATTACAGAGGCGTGAGTAATGGCATTTCGAGAGGCACTAACATGAAGGGCAGAGTTTATCAATACCGTACTTGAAGCGCCCCTGTATTTCATATTCCTTCATAATCGCCTTAGTTGGCGTGGTACGTAGTTGAGTACTGGCTCGACTCTCGGACCATGCGCATGCGATAGCGCGTCACTTGCCATTGCAGTAACTCCGGCTTACAGGCATAGTTCACGATTAAGGTGGTTTCTGAGTTCTGCCTCAGGAATACCCAGTGGCACTTAAGGGTAACAGGAAGGTACCAGGGTAACGGTCCCAAAACTCTACAACTAGGGCATAGCGGGAGTCCCGTTGCCGGATCGCCCGGGTGCCCCGCCTCTCGACCGATGATGTATTAGACGAGTGTCGATATAATTGCGGTATTCGTGACAGGACTCACACATTCAGTACCCAATCAGCGGATTGTTTAGTGAAGTGACGATTTTTATCATTTTTCTATTATTCTCTGTTATTCTTTTTGCTGCTGCGATCCTTAATGTAATTTTCTACCTCAACAGCTGGACAAGGTGGGCTATTTTTGCTGTTACTAACGTTATTGTTAAGTTATGCTCATGAAAGAATGAATTTCAAAGGAAATTTTTGCTTACTAGCTCTTCGCACCAGGACCCACGCGTAATGACACACACTGATAGCTTGTCCAAAGCCCCATTCTTCTTCTTTTTTCCGGTCACCAGCAGGGACAAAAATTCTCGGGAAGGCGAGTCTTGTGTAAATTTCATCCACTGAAATGTCAAGGCCCATCTCCTCTGCACGTGACCATCTCTTACTTCAATTCATATGCACTCGTCAATCCATTTTATCACGCTGCTAACTTTACTGCCGAAACATTTTTGTATTTTGCTTTTAGTTTTCTGTTGGNCGAGTCTTGTGTAAATTTCATCCACTGAAATGTCAAGGCCCATCTCCTCTGCACGTGACCATCTCTTACTTCAATTCATATGCACTCGTCAATCCACGCTGCTGTATCACGCTGCTAACTTTACTGCCGAAACATTTTTGTATTTTGCTTTTAGTTTTCTGTTGGCGAAACCGATTCGTACAGTCAAATGATAGAGAAGCTATCACGATGGAGAATCGAATGTGAATTCAAGCGTCTTATCAAGCCCGTTGATCGAACCGAGTATGATTTTAACCCTGCAGACGTTGATGCTTACTACTCGCACGACTTCAACTCAATAAGTAGGAACTGTTGATAGAATAGTTTTACCACTGAATGAAACATTTTCAGATGACTCCCTTAAAGATTATTTTTCAGAAATTCCAGCTGCTATTCTGCAGGCTCCTTTCTTCCATCCAACATTTCCAAGGTAGGCTTTGAGAACTTGTTTGCTGAGTGTCAGATCGTTTTCTATTCCCACTAAATCATATCACGATTATTCCACAAGGTGAAAACTGAGCTGTTTCTTCGTAAATTTCAGAGCGCTCAATTACGGTGGAATTGGAGTTGCAATTGGACATGAAATCACTCACGGATTTGACGACCACGGTATATGCCAGATTCGATACACAGCACTCTTCCAAAAAGTAGTTCTGAACCCATTAAAAAGGCTAAAAGTGCATCTGTGTCCCTGGATAGTTGTAGATATTTCAGAGACGAACAAGAAAAAAATTCGAAGTGAGACTATCTGCGCATATAAAATACTGCCTCAAGTTCATTATACCCCACAATTAGAGAAGTTCTTTGAATAGAGAAAACGTAGAGGAAATTTTTGAACAAGTTTTACTCGTGTCGAGAATACCCTATTAGCAATACTCTCCTGTTCAAACTCAATATAGACTAGTTCGGAAGCCCTCTCCAGTCAAAGTACCTTTTTATTTTTACTTCTACGAATCCACGAGAGGAATGAGCCATACTTCTACTGACCCTGTCCACAGCAACTGTATAGGCCTAAACACCCTAACTACTATGATCTCCCCACCGGGGATTCTTCTTCTTCTTCTACTATGACGGCCCGGCTGGTCATTTAGCGAAATATATGCAAATACACAACTTTGCCACTTCGAAATTGGACACTCTTCTAGAGCAGCTATTGATTGTCACTATAAGTATACACTGCAGTTCAAATGCTACTACACCTTCAAGCTTTAATCTTGGGCAGCCACGGAACTTCTTCACTGATGTTCTTTCTTGCCTAAAAATCTGTCTGAGTTTTCATATTACATGGTGCGACCCCAGGCTGTGAATAGGGATAAGTCGCCAACACTGGGCCTATTTAAGCCCAGTGTTGGCGACGAGACGAATAGGAGATGAACTTTCTGTTTCTGTTGTGATGAGTCCATTTATATCATTTATCTGCTTGCCATTCATTTATGCGTATCCATGCATGCAGGTGTAGAATGTTAATGGTGCGGAGGGTGTCCTGCACAATGGTGCGGAGGGTATCCTGCACATGGACTCAGCCATAATGCACTAGAGTGAATTCGAAACTCTTGAGAGGTGATTTGTGGTTGTTTCTAATAACAGGCACCTTGTCAACCGTGAGACTACTGAAGGTGGCAAGAAAGTTCTGCGGCACAAACTAAAAACTTAAAAATATTGTATATTTTAAGATCGCTGTCAGTAATTCGAACGGCAACATTGGCTAAAAGCACTGCTGACGTGCTTCACAAATTGACTCATGGAATGGGATGGAATGAGTAGGGTGAGAACTGCTCGAGCTCATCATGACAATCCACACCACCACGGTTTCGGAAGCGTGCTCATTCATGAATCTCTATGGAGTCATTTAGTCGACGATTCCATAACGTAGTATATCGCATCATCCTGAATCGAAAGCCTCGATGACTGACGTAGCTGTTGCCCGAAGTTCTACATGTAATCGGACCCTCTTCTCTTCCGCGCTTAGTTTTGCTTTTGCTTTTTTTTCGCTATACGGCTGGGAAAACAGGGAACCGACCAGTTGTCGAGAGACAATTTTCCACAGTGATTCCAGCTGATATGCTAATGGAATCGCTCGAGCTAAGATCAAATTCCAATTAACGCACGGACTAGCCATGCAGAGGAGCGATACAAAAAGATCGGAATGAGGGAAGAGTGCAGTATATATCATGATTTTGTTCCACTAAAGAAAAAAGTTACGGACGAAAAAGCAAAAACGAAGACTTCTGAGCGCTGCTGTACATGTACATATAAATGCTCCTTAAGCTATACAGCAACTCGACGCGTAAGAACGGAAACGCAGGAGAAGAAGGTCGACGGCCGCTTCGTTTGATAGACGAGTTCGTCAACACTAGACCGAGCAGTTGAAAAGAAATCGGCCAAAATGACAACGCTTGAAAAAAGATCGCCTCGGACTGGATCTGGCGAGGACAATGTTCTTTGGGTCCAACTAAATAGAACCTAATGGTCCTTTTACGCTGGGCTCAATAAACAACTCTTGCTGCGTGTACCTCAGTCGAGAAGTGAACATGATGAGTGATCCAACTTCAGAGGGAACGCGACGGGGGAAATAGTGGGGGGTACTTGTAGCTCTATACTCGTCTTTTCGGCTCTGCGGTTGCTTTTGCTTTTTGCTTTGCTTTTTTCAATATCCCTGACGGCAAGAAATCGAAGGTCAGGTATGCTGAAGACATCACGCGATTTTATGATGATCGTCGGATCAGGAATGTTACTGAATGGATCCCTCAAGACGTCAAGCGAATTCTACAATGGTCAAGATCGCGGTAGTCACATTTCCTCATAAAATCTCGAAACAAAGGGGATGCATGCTTCATGCCCCTCGATTGCAGACGATATATTGAACTACTCTGGCTCGCAGCAGGGATGAATGGCAATTGTACAAGAGCTTGCTCTATGGAATCAATGACAAACGAGTTGGAAGGTGATCCAGGTGATTCTTGGATAGAAGTAAGGCATTTCGAGTGCAGTCACTGCCACAATTTCTTGGAAAATCAATCCAGGTTTAATGCACTACCAGGACGACAAGGCAACACACTACTACACTGATCAATTGTATGCATGTGATGTATCAAGAGTTTTCATGACATCCCAATCGGTTAACCAGATAAGAGAACATCTTCATTCTGGAACCTTGAAACCAGGCGTAAAGAACAACGGCTAACATATGGCTCTGAAGCTAAATATGTGAAGAAAGTTTCAGTAATCTTTGTTAGTGTCGCAATTCGAACTAGCAAAGAAGTACGTGTCGAATATAGGGAGGCAGTTTGACAACGGGAGAGATGTCTATAGGAGCTTCCGAGCGAGCTTTAGAACATTCAAGAGTTCTTGACAATTAAGAAAATTCGGCAGATGCTTCCCTTAAATCCTGATAAAATAAGGCCGGCGGAACACTCTGTGCCTACTGACCCTATTTTACCCCACGAAGTGTCTTCCTAAAAATTCTTCCTCAGAAAGATAGCTCAGTGTGACTTCCGCCACTTCAAAATGTTCACGGCACGATATTCAATATTCCACAATGATTCTCTCTCATTATTCATTCTTAGAATTTAATCAGACTACTACCCTACCTATCTAGACTATTAAATTTCAGGTCGGCAATTCGATTCCGATGGTAACCTTCGCGACTGGTGGGACGCAGATGTAAAGAAGAAGTTCATAGAACGAGCCCAATGTATTATTGACCAATATGGAAGAATAGGGGTTTGCTGTTAGCGAAGCATTACGCGGCGGTTTCAATTTGGTGGTGGTCGCTGACTTTGATTGAAATAAACTTTTCCAGGTGCCAGGCACTGGCCTGAATGTTAATGGAAAACTCACCCAAGGGGAGAACATTGCTGACAACGGCGGAGTAAAACAAGCTTTGAGGGTCAGGTTTTGATTTCAGACAACAGGTTGTTCCAGAGAGTAAGTTTCACGTCCGGCTTCCTATGAGCATCGGCATAATCGCTCTATTACTTAGCTGTTTCCCTGAGCTTTCGCAAGGTCTATATATGTATAAGCTTTATTAGGCTGACGTTTCGGTGGAATCACCTCCTTCAGAGCCTAAAGGGATTGCAACAATTTGTGACTATTCGATTGATCGTCTCCATCCAAGTTCCAGACTCCCACGGTACGGATGTGACTGAGTGGAGATCGACTCACCGTCACTTTGTGTATTCTTCGAAACCACCCAAAAACCGATGGTGATAACCGACCAGTGCCAGCTGGAGTATGTCTTATCCAAAGTCTCTGCGAAAAGATATGTAAGTCGGCAGCTCCCTCCTAATTGCGGGGCATTCTTCCCTACAATTCACTTTTGATTGGTGACCTGTATCCAAAATGCCTCGCATGTTTTACGCGCGCATATTTGCAACTCCTGTGCCGCGAATTCCGCGGTGACCTCGGACATGCCTAACAGCGGGTAATCTTGTAGACCCGTATCACATGCCAATTTATCCGATTATCTTCGCTCATTGTCCCCACTGCAAACTTTCTTCGCAGTGCGGAACATATGCCCTACAACCAACTGCTACTACTTTTTGTGTAACAAGAAAGAGCTGAAGAACATGGACAATGATATCCTCATTGCTAGGCTCTCTGTACCAGTTCGTAGTAATCTATCGCCCTGTAACCTATCTTGAACGTCCAAGAAAGAAAGCCAGTCTGTCGGTTCCCCCTTGTTAACATAATGTGCTCTAATCGCGAAATCAGTAGATTAACCTGTGTCGCAAAAACAATGAAGCAATCTTTGATATACGTGCAGTAAAGTAAGGCTAGGTAATCCAGTGCAGGCTCTAGTATTGTCCATAAATGCTATAGCCAAAACAGGTGCTAAGAGCTGTTCTGTTCTACATTCAGTCACCTGCTTTTCGTAGGGTCTTAAACTTTAGTTGGACAAGAGGGACGGGTGGTCAGATAGTCACAAATCGTTACATCCCTTCAGGCTCTTAAGAAGGCGATTCAGCCGCAGCGTCAGCCCGATAAATCTTATATGAGAACACGTGAGGAGTTCAAGGCAATCACTTAGTAATAGGTCTAAAGAGTATTTCGCAACAATTTGGGTCAGAGATTTCGTACCTCAAGTATTGTATGCTTGTGCTACGTAGATTCTATCATATAATCAAACTTCTCTGGCATAACCAAGACAGGGCTGGTCCAATGGTCATTCCTATGCTGTAGTTTTTCTAGTTCAATCTCGCTGGTCTTAGTTTTGTTTTGTTTTTGAGCCTTGTTATATATCTCTCTAACTCTCCGAATCACGGATAATTCAAAGTTTTTTATAGTCAATAAATTGCAACAATCAAAGGTTAAATAGTCTCTCATAAAACTATAGAAGTCCTTTCATCTATAAACCTCGGCATTTCTGTTGTCTGAAATCGTTAATTTTGATTCTGCCGTGAGGCTGGTAGATAGAAATATTTATTCTGGCCGTCGTTTAGACGGACTCGTCGTTTTTAAAGGCCTAACTAAAAGTGGTTCAAAGCTTGTTGATTGCACACTACCCCACCAAGCGTCTCTTTCGCTCTAGGGTTTCTGACGTTCTATCAGGAATGCACGAAAAATGTCCGGAATCCAAAAGATAAGCCCACCTCGTTTCCACCGCGAAGTGTAGCCACGCTACACGGTTACTATATTAGTAGCGAATGATCTTAGTATGCTGTCCTTATGCAATAACATTATTACGGACCAGTGGATTATGGAACAAACTCGCAGTGTTGCATAAATGGCAAGAGATCATTTGTGATTGTCACACACTCCTTTCGGTTGTTCATATCTGGATTTCTAGGGTAATGGAACTTCTCCCCGATTGCGGCATTCTCCCTTGCGGCATGCGGCAAATGCCACTGCAATTATCGTACTCACCCCGGCCCCAGCCAATCGATATGACGCAATATTTTTCGTTGGTTGCCTTTCTTTTTTATTAGTTTTGATCGTTTTTTATCTTTCTTTTTCTTGTTTTTATGTATATTAGACTTGTTTAATTAGAGTGACTCCTATATTAGCGACGATCAATACCGCATTGGAATTGAAGGCAGCGGCCAGCCAATTCAAATAATTGAAGGACTCCCTAACTCACAAATTGCGCGCTCCAATCTTCCATCGCAATCCTGCGATACGCGGCGGGTGCGGCGTGCGCGACGCCGTCTTCGGGGAGATGTTCCCGGACCCGGATTCCTGGCTAAAATCTAGAACGCTTACAACGCTTTCATCGACGATATTTCCGTTTCGTGAGCCAATATCGTACATTCGATGTTAAAGTCATTTCCACCATGCTGCTCCACTCTGTGCTTCCCTCACGGAGTTAACACATTACTGCGCCGTTTACCGGCAAGATGCTCTTTGATTCGTACTGATAAAACTCTTCCGGTTTCCCCTATGTAGCTTGAGTTACATGCCTCACATTGAATCTGATAAATTATGCCTACAGAAGCGCAATCTCCATTTCGCTACAACGGTATATTGTTCGGGCACAATTGTGCGATGATGTTATTCTAGTTAACATTAATCCTAATAACATCAAACGCCAACTTGTGCGGAACAGACTCTATGACACGCAGCGCCTGACAGAGGGTTGCGTTACATGTCCTAATGGGATAAATGGAGGTTGCGCTACTGTAGGCGTAATTTGTCAGATTCAATGTGAAGCATGTAATTCAAGCTATATAGAAGAAACCGGAAGGGTTTTATCAGTACGAATCAAAGAGCATCTTGCTGGTAAAGGCGCAGTAATGTGTTAACTCCGTTAGGGAAGCACAGAGTGGAGCAGCATGGTGGAAATGACTTTAGCATCAAATGTACGATATTGGCTCACGAAACGGAAATATCGTCGATGAAAGCGTTGGAAGCGTTCTGGATTTTAGCCAGAAATCCAGATATGAACAACCGAAAAGGAATGTGTGATGATCACAAATGATCTCTTGCCATTTATGCAACGCTGCGAATTTGTTCCATAATCCACGAACGTGCTGATCCGTAATAGTGTTATTGCGTAAGGACAGCGTACTAAGATCATTCGCTACTAATGTAGTAACCGTGTAGCGTGGCTACACTTCGCGTTGGAAATGAGGTGGGCTTATCTTCTGGATTCCGAACATTTTTCGTGCATTCCTGATAGAACGTCAGAAACGCTAGAGCGGAAGAGGCGCTTGGTGAGGTAGTGTGTGATCACAAGCTTTGAACCATTTTCAGGCCTTTGAAAACGACGAGTCCGTCGGAACGTCGGCCAGAATAAATATTTTCATCTACCAACCTCAAGGCAGGAGCAAATATAATGATTTATAGGAGGAGCATTTTTAGTTAGCCCTATGCGCAATTCTCTGAATGTACGATTATTCAGGCCTACAGAAAGTACCTGACGAAGCATGGGGAAGAGAAGCGCGTTGAAGGTTTAGAAGAATACAGCAACGAGCAGATGTTCTTCATGGGATATGCATTGGTAAACGCCAAACGTCTCACACTATTATAATATTACATTACTATCTCATTATGTATCAATATATTAATGCGAGGTATAGTGGCGAGTGGCGCATTGTCACACACGCGTGGTCTCAGGTTCGAATCATATCCGGGGTTCGAACCTGTGACCCTAGGCCAACTGAGACTTCCATCCCTTCGGGATAGGTTAAATGGTACTAGATCTGTTTGAAAGCTTAAGCACTGACATCTAAATCGGCTGCTGCCGCGAGTCACTGTATCGGCCACATACGCATTCAATACGCCACCACGGTTCGGAATGGAAGTCAAATGCGGAAGCGCATCCCTTAGAAGGGATTTACTAGAGCTCAAGGACTTCATCCTTCATCCTTATATTATTGTGAGTCACTTCCACCGTTCATTGCAGAAACTTCGCATAATTTAGACATGGTGTGCTCATTCGACTAGAGATGCACTTATAAAACGCATTCTCACTGATCCTCACCCACCACAACACTATCGGTGTGTTTGTCACTTCTATATTTACAATGGTGTTCATAATAAAGGAGCGATACTATCGCAAAGAGCGATTCTGACCTAATCATTTCTCTGCCCGTTTTTCCAGAATCAGGTGCTAGCTACTATTATTAGCTCTGTAGCGCTACTTTTACAGCAAACTTTGCTTTTTTGCTAAATTCTGATAAGGACGACTAGCTGTTAACAAAACTTCAACCTCAAACAGGATTCGGACCCTTCTCATGCTGTCGCACGTCGACCACTAAATTCGAGTGTTCTTGAGCGGATAGAATAAGAACGGAAAAGAGTCACACTGATCCGTCAGGCCACGATTCGAAAGTCAAGCGGGTAAGGTCAAGCGAAGTCTCACACCTGCAAGAATCCTCCCGATCTGGTTGAAGGCACAGTTTACAATAAAAATGGTTCCTGAGATTTCCCCACAGAATGAATTCGAGGTCCCCTCGTAAACATGCCTGGCGCTATTGGATCGGAAAACGGTTAGGGAGTTATAAAGGCTCAAAGATTACACCATGTGATTGCACCTCGGAAGAGTTTTTTCGGCATTGGATAGGCTGCACCGATCACAAGGGAACCCATATAGGAAGTTCGAATAACTTGTCATGACCCACAGCGACAGTGAAAGGCAGTTCTGTACAGTTCCAGCCTGATGTACTCAGCTCTTTGCGCAATTGCAACAGCTGGAATCTTTTCCGAGTGCTCCTTTCATGTTATTTCCATCATGATAACCTTGTCTAAGCTCTATTTTCCCTTCTTTTGAGTAACCATGTTTTTCTCGAAATCGGCGAATTCTCCCGCTTCCTTCCGTACCGATGAGCTATTCTCGACCTATACTTCCGCTTTCCGACCAAGAAGGGGTACCTCGAAATTATCGTGTA